GGAAACTGATGTTGCACAGCATTTTGTCGATTTAAATGATGAATATGTAGAGTCGAATGCGAAAAAGTATAAATCGCAAAAAAAGAAATTTATGGCAACAATGAAATCGTGTATTCTTGAAGAAAATTCACAAATGCCAGAAAATGCACCAACATGTTCTGCTTCTCTCTTCATTGCTGAACAATTAAACAAAACGGCCATATCTATTGAATATATCGAGAAGAGAGTATGTTATTCAGATAGATATGTACTGTGGATATAGAATCAATGGAATTGAAGTCGTTTGATTCTGATTGAATGAACATAACCGAAAATGTTAATTTTAGGATTTATACTGAATGAATATGCTTACTATCAAATTAAATGTCAATTCACACACACCTACTGTGTAAGGGTAAAGTATTTTTACACTAGTTTAAAAGAAGGCATTGTAATATAACTTTTAAGAATATCAATAAAGTTTCTTTCTTTATTTCTTTCTTTATTTATAAAACGGGTCATATTGTACATTTAACAGCCTAATGGCCAATTACAAAATGTATTGTGGCGAATATATGGAAACAGTTTAAAAATTTAAAATTTATAATAGAAGAGAGAGAGTGCTTAATTTTAATCTTTTTTTTTTAATTGTTATTAATTTCTACCAAATAGTATTGCTTTCCATGGAATAAGTATTAATGCTCCTAGAACACCCTCGCTTCAATTACAATATTGGATATGACTTTATGGCTAAATGATGGAAATATGGAGCGAGGGTAATCGTGCAGCGCTACTACGCATTTCTCTTAAGTTAATAAGTGATTGCTTATAAAAACCGTATCTCTTACTAAAAGTAAAAATGTTGGCAAACAATTATATATAGCTGCAACTTATCTCTCAAACTCATTTCAAAAATGATTGTGCATTTTGCTTATCTCTACATAACTCAACGAAATGAAGTAAAAAGAAGATTAATTTAGATGCGGAAATTTAGCTTTGAATAAAGTTTTAAAAAATCAAAGCACTCATGTTAAAACTTTATGTTAACCGCCAAATATGCTAATGAGTATTTGAAATCTATTGAAAAACTTGAATTTCACGTCCCATAGAAACACACATCATAGATGAACAGCATATCGTTTAGCATGCTTAATTTAGCATATATGTGGAAGAAACGTGTGATCATTCGCACTTCAGCCCTGACTCTAACAACTGGTAAGATATTGCAAAAGACTGTCTTCAGATAAATTGTAATATTAATTGTTAATTTATAGTTTTGTGTTGAAGAGATTGTAGAATAATCTTAAATTGAGTATTCAAGGTGATGTGTGTTTTTTTTATTAATTAATTATCCGTTTGATTAAATTGAATTTAAAAGATTGACTAATACGAAAAATGAAGAGTTTACAATTGGCGATTATATTAGTGGCTCTACGTATAATGTACACACCCACTGCAGCTAAATTAGAAGCAAAATTCAGTTGGAAAAGTATCGAATACAATTGGCCAACGTCATTTGCTGCAGAAGAAGCAATGCGCAGCGAACAATACATACCTGAAAACAATCTGCCCCTGGGATTAGATGTGTGGAAAGATAAACTATTTATCACTGTTCCGAGGTATTTTGTTTTATTATAAAAAATCTATAAATAATTGTGAAAATTCCAAATTTCTTTAGCAAATTTACCATTTAAGACTGATTATCGATTATTTGATTTATTTTTTATTAGATTTAAGCCAGGCGTCGCTTCGACCTTAAATTATGTGAATATTTCAAGTGAAAGAACAAAGCCCAATGCTTATACCATACCCGAACTGGGAATTTAATACCATTGACATCAATCCAGATGGCACTCTTGAAGAGTATTTGCCAATACTTTCAGCCATCCGAGTTCGAGTCGATGAATGTGATCGTCTATGGGTGGGCAATAGACTCCTTTTTCCATTATTGGAGAATTACAATCCATTCTCTTATCTTTTCATTTCTTCTCTATTAGGTAATAGACGCTGGATTTACTGAATACATAAAAAATCGAAGTAAATTTCCAACACTATACATCTTCGACCTGAACACCGATGTATTGCTAAGGCGATACCCATTCCCAAGATCTTATTTAAAAGATGATAATTACTTCATAAATGTGGTAAAGTATGAATAGGTCACTATTAAAATCAAAGTCAAATTTTATTTACTTATTTATTGAAGCAGACCAGAGTAAGCAGACTACTTTGCTTGCTTGCGTTATGTTGATGCGTGAATGAAATAATAAAATTGTGTTTTTACCACATTTCAACAGATTGTAGATATTCCGAAAAATGATTGTGACAATGCGTTTGCCTACGTACCAGATATGCACACGTATAGTGTTGTTGTTTATTCATATAAAAACGATGAATCTTGGCATGTGCACCATGATTATTTCCATTTTGATCCATTGTATACAGACTATAATATTGGAGGTGTGAATTATCAAGCACGTACCGGTGTATTCGACATGGCTTTGGGCAAATCAAACAAAATGGGGTTTGTATCACAAAATATGTTCATCAATTCCAACGCAGATTATAATTGATTCTCCTCGTCATTTTCAGTGTTCGAACCGTTTATTTTCACGCAATATCAAGTTCACGAGAATTTTCGGTGCCGAATACTATTTTACAAAATAAGATGCGCGCGTTAAGTGTCGAATCTTTTCATGATTATACATATGTCGGCGACCGAGGGCCCAATGGACAAGCATCAGCTGAATTTTTAGACGAAAAATCGAATGTTTTGTTTTACACTCAATTACAAAAGGACGCCATTTATTGTTGGAATGTAGATAAACCATATAATTGGAATACGCAAGGAATTGTTGATATGGATTCCGACTCTTTGTCATATCCAAATGATTTGAAAGTTGATCGAAATGGAAATCTATGGGTTTTATCAGACTGTCTTCACCTTTTCTTAGAAAATAGATTAAATCCTGACGAATTTAACTTTAGGATTTTAAATGGACGGGTTAATGAATTAATCGCCGGTACAACGTGTGAAAATGAGCTTTCTCAACGTAGTATTGGTGGTACCAAAAATCGACAATATGGTCATGGGGTCGTACGCAATTAATGATATAAAAATTATTTCAAATATATTACAAACTTTTGGAAACACGAATGAATGAATAAAACGGGGCCAAACTTTATTTCACAATTTTTTTAAAACACCAATTCATTTTCCCTTTTTTAAAATATAATTAACTTGAAATTGTATTGAACAGTATTTGACTAACTTTGCCCTGTCCCAGATAGGTTAATGCCAGTTTCGGTTGTATTAAGAATTTGGAAATACCTGAAACCGTGATACGCTTCGTTTTCGAAAAAATGTAAGCATACAGATCGTGCAATAACAGCCGATGGGAAATAGTATCGTATATTCCCCATACAAATTAATTTTATCGGATCTACGAATACGACATCTGTTAAAAAAGATACCGAATTTTGTTACTACTGTTGCTTTGACACAGCTCAAACGAACTATACGGCTATGGCTGTATTACAGATGAACTAATACAAAAGAACACACAGACTCCGATCCTGTGTATGCGTATGTATTGTAAATTTTGCACAAGCAGCTACGATTGACGACTGAGTGCAGAATTTGTAATACATACGCATACACAGAATCGGAGTCTGTGTGTTCCTTTGTACTTTTACACCAGCTGTATTAAAACACCACTAGTAACAGAAATCGGCGAGTTTTTTAGTAGATGTCGTATTGGTGGAATCGATAAAGAAAAATCTACGATATTAGCGCTCATTGATAACAGCGGCTGGTAAATCGGTCGTCATAACATCGAGAATACCGACTATACAAGACGATTCAACACCTGATAATATGAGTAAAAAGTGTTCAATTGCAAATTAAAATAAAGCTTCTTAACCCTTAACCGGGCAGGTCAAAATCCTAACGTTATCAGTCAAGTCTCAAGTGGGGCCCCTGAGGCCCGACGTACATTTTCCATGCAAATTCAATGAACAAAAATTTTTTTTGTCTTTTTTCAAATTTCATTGAATTTATACGACGAAAATTATTGTTGATCAAACTCGATCCAAATAAAGAGCGTGTCTCTCAATTCCTTCAATTTATACAATTTGATTTTCACTAGAAGTATACGATGGAATAAATAATACCGTAATAAAACAAATGATGGAAACAACGAAAATGCATGCTTTCGAAGCTTGAACAACCCACATAGAAAACAAATGTGTTTGCATTAGACTGATTTACCCGCAAGACAACTGACAACACGGCTGAACTTTTATCAAACAAATGAACATTATTTTAAATTCAAGTAGCTATCACAATTGGTTGCAATATCATTAAAAATAACTCTCACTCGAAATGTTGTATTTTATTTGGTCAAATGTGTTGTCCAAATAATTACGTCCCAATAGAACCATTTTGTGTAAATATTCTATAAATAAGAATATGCAAACAAATATGATCAATATTTGTGCACATTTTGTAAATATTTTGCATACATTATTTACACAAAAATGTTGTTGTTGCAAATGTTGCAAAAAATTTGCAAAATATTTCTTTGTCATTTTCTTTCAGAAGTTCGTGGAGCAGATTGCTTATTCTGTTCCTATTTTTGTTCAGAAATTTATCTGTAAACGCGTATATGTCTCATGAAACAAAGAGACGCACTCACTCACACACACACACACACACACACAGAGAGAGAGAGAGAGAGAGAGAGAAGAGAAGAAGAAGAAGAAGAAAAAGAAAAATAGAAGGTTGAAGAGGGAGAGATATATAGAGACATAGAGAGGGAGACGAGAGAAGAAGATATAAACCAACACATATACTCTATAATATTCATGGTATCATTCTAGTTCATACGTTGTCAATTGGTATAGGATTTTCATAAAAGCAGTAACAGTTAATAGTCTGTCTCTATGTATACTTTTTATTCAAATTTGTTCTTTAATTTCTTTCGCCAAATAAATTTTAAATAAATGTTTGACAGTAACCGTGTACAAATGATTAATGCCCGATGATATTCAAGGTAATGCAAATTAATAGTTCCGAATGGAAAATCTGGTGCTAATAATATACGATGCTTCTTTTCAAAAATGACTATAAATTTTATTCCAAAATACTTCATTTAAAAATATCGATCAACTTCTAAAAAACGTGAGTTCAAATATCAATGTTAATACAAAAAAAATCATGCGGATGTTTGTTTGTATCAAAATTTGTTCCGTTACAATAAATATCAATAAAAATGATGACACAGTGATTATTTGCTAGGATTGGATTTTTCGATGCCAAAATGTTTGTTTGTTAAAAAATCAAAATGCTGATATCGCGTTGATGATATCGTGCGCAATACATCATCGTTGTTTATCTCTATGTAGGAACTGAAAAAGAATAAAATTCAAACACGAATTAATAGATTTTCTTTTAATGAATTGGACCCTTTTATTAGTCAATTACCTTTCAGAATTTACTGTACGCTGTTTATTGCCGCTACATTTTCGAAGTAAATCCTCAAGGAACGACCTCAGTGCAATTGTGAAGACAAGTTCAGCACTTCGATGTAAAACACCTGAAATACAATAAAAATGTGTTACGAAATTTAAAAAAAAAATTTTTTTTTTGGTTCTACCTTCGACAATTTCCTCTTGGCCGACTCGAATTTGCATTTTTCGAAATTCTTCATTGATCCACATCAATTCATCGTGTCCACACTGAAGCGGTAAATGCATGAAATTTTCGTCGGCTTTTAATGGGCTAGACTCCTTTTGGGGTTGATCTTCATTCTCGTCGTCCACGATAATGATTTGTTCATCAATTGACTCTTTTACATTTTTAGACGTTTCTTCTACTTCTTCGATCCATTTGGTTAATTTCTTGTTGAAACTGATGGTGTCATTTTGTAATTGCTCTCGAATCAACTCAGTTTTAACGATTTCACGGACATTTTGATCGTTTTCCTTTTTAATGGACGCTTTTTGAAAATTAAACACTGACGGCGGGGTGTATCCAAACCAACGGCCAAATAACACGATGTCTTTAGTACACCATTTTTTGAAATTTCTTAATGAATCGTGTTTTTGGACTAAACGACTTATGTGTTTGGCACGTAACCACTGAAATCAAAGAATATACAGGAAAATTGGAGAAAATTCCAAAAGGTCAGTTTATTTGACTCAGTTAAATAAAAAAAAAAATGTATCGACTCACCTCAAAACTCCTCTGCTTTGCAATTAGGAGACTGTGAAAATCAGCAGTGCTCTTCACCGTGAATGGAAACGCTTCCCTAAACTCAGATTGTGCGGCTAATGGTGATATCAATTGAATCTCCTTCAAAAGCCATCCAATGGCATCGGTCATATTTGTGAACGATTTACGTGCTATAAACCGTTGCTCCAGTTCGGCTCCATACCGTTGCCGTTCTGCTTGTGACTTTGTTTGAGCATTGATGTCAAATTTCATGTCAGCCGGGAGGAAAACGTTGATATTTTTATTCTCAAGTCCGCTTATATTGCTGACGGTGATTTTCTTCAGGGCCGAATTCATTGGCATGGGTCGCGGTTTCAGTAAGCTAACTTGAGGCTTCAATAGTGATTGTTGTTGTGTTTTTGACATTCGATTCGTATCCAAAATCAACACTTTGTTGTTTTTATGAATAAGACTAGTGGTCGATGTCTTATTCGGCGACGAAGTCGGAATAGAAGTAATATTTTGTGTGGGAACGACGTTAATTTTCGGTGACGGAATGAATCGGCTAGTTGAAGGACGCGGTGAATTGATCGCAACTAATTTTGGCATTGTTTTCAATGGGCTCGTAATATTACCGATCGATATTCGACGATTTACCATTTGATTGGGATTTACTATAGTTGGAACTAATTTTGCCGGAGAATTTATTGAAATATTTGCTAAACTATTTGGTGCACTCAATGTTCGAATCAATGGTGTACCAACCTTTGGAGACTGACCAATGACATTAATTGGTCTTATCGAATTTGACGGAAGCACGACCGGCGTACCGACTCGACCTTGTGGTACCATCTTGAAGTTGTTGGCTTGAACACCGTGCGGTAGCACCATTTTGAATAATTTCGGATTCTTTTCATCTTGTACCAGCTCCATCAAGGAGACTTTACCATCTTTTCCAACGCATTTCATGTAGGTCTTCTTCGTATTCGGTTTAACCATGGTCGCAATATTTTGCGGTGGATTTGTTTTTAATTTATTTTGATCACAGATTCTGATTAGAGGAACGGATGGTGCTAGTTCAAGAGGCAGTGACGGTTGTTCAGTTTTTATTTTTATTATTGGGGTTAGTTGAGGTGGTTTCTGACCATTTTTCTGATTCTCAACAATTTCCATTGGCTCTTCTTTAGTAATGACCTCTTGTTTTATTACCGGTTCGGGTTGTACCAATTTTGGCAACACCGGTCGTGCCATCGCCTGAGCTGACGTACTCGGTAGAGATTGTAATGAATTGTAAGGAGATTGTTTGGAAGAATTACATGGTGTCACATTACTTTTAGATGGTTCAATGGGAGAATTATGCCGTGGTGGTGCCACCTTCACTGAACTACTGTCATTTGTGACGTTACTTTGCTTTGAGGATGAATCATAGCTTGTCGATGGTTGCGCTTCATCAGTTACTGTATTTGGAATATTTAACCATACCTCAACAATTGTCTCAGCACCTAGTGGGTTAGAGATATTTATTACATGCTGTTTGAAGCACAAAATAGAAATTAAAATTAAAAGTATAACTAACCCATTGTCTGCATTCCAGTGTGTTTTTTATCCAATATTAATGTGTGGAAAATTTGCAATGGTTTTTGCATTAAATGCGGATGAAAGTACAGTTGAACACGTACAGGAAACTCCTAGGGATAATCAGAAAAAATGGAATTAATGGAAATTAATCAACGTGTAATGGAATGGATCAGAATTGCAGAGTAATGGAATACTCACCCCCCAACCTCGTTTTGATATTTGAAAAGGCAGCGCACTGGAAAAATGGATTTTTATTAAATTAAAAATTTATACAGAACACATGACAGAACATGTCATGTCATATGACTCATATGTGGGCTTTTTAACATATTTTTGTCACCTCTAACCGATAATTTGATGACTGTTTTTTTTAACAATAATAATAACATTCTAATTTTCTTCGCCATAGTACCTCGATGATCTCAGACAGATAAATTATTTCAATGTATCAATGTTTGATTCAATGTATCTCGTAATATTCATAAAATCAAGCATGGCATAAACTGAAGAACAAGTGTCTTAGTCAATTAGGAACGGTGGCAACAACTGATATTAACCAATCGACACGATTTATAGACTGAAGTACTTTGTCGACGAAAAAAAAATTTATCAATTAATTTATTTCAAATGCATCAGTTGCGAGATCAAAAATGTTCGATGCCATCATTTGATTTTTTTCGTGGTTTTCCCGTAAAATTTCCAATGGTAGGACCAAAAAAATGTGTGAGTCTTAAATATTATCAAAAAGTAATCAAAAAATGATCAAAAGTTCAAATTATGCCATTGGGCAAATTGATAATTTGTAGAAGAAAATACAAATAGAAACAATTTGAAATTGTTCATGCACGTAGAAATATTGAATGAGTAAAGCAAAGCCGGAAGATATTTTTTAGAGTCATTTTTTCAAAATAATTTTCGTTAACATCGAAAGGTACTATTGATTCAAATGTAATTTAGTGAAGAAAATCTCTTACCCGACTTCAATGATGTCATTCGGTTTGTATGACTCGTGTAGAAAAAATCGAGCTCGACTCACAATTTGCTCAACCGGTACTGCACTTTTTGTTGACACATAAATCAACCACTTGTGCGTCACATTTGTAGCCAATTCAGCCTCTTCGTCTCCAATATACTTGGACACATTGCCTTCAGAATAGAAAAATTGTTAAATAAAATAATTTAATAGAAAATTGGTTGAAATACCAATAGAAAAACTCACCAACGACAAGTATATGACGATAGTTGTTCCGTCCCCGAGCAGAGTTTACTTGGGGTATTGTTGTATTCGATGTAGTTGGTGCGACATACCGTGGTTTTTTCTAATAGAAAAAAAATCAAAATTAATTGAGGAAAGTCCGAATTTTCTAGTGTAAACTTCCAATTTTTTGGAAAATAATCGAAAATCCGATGGTAATCCCTGAAAACATGAGAATGTGTTGGGAATTGTCAAAAAAAAAAAGGTTTGATGACTTACGCTTTCAGCATCATGACATGATTCCGTTGTAACATTACCCGCGAGATCTCTCATCTTAATTTTGGTGTCTGTGGGTTTTTTGACCATTTTTTGAAATTGTTCCGTTGCATTTTTAGCGGCCCTGCGTGCCGGCCGTGTTTTAAGAATTTCATTATAATCAATCGGTCGTTTTCCCAATAATTTTTTAAGTGATGGATGAATGGCCATTTGTGGTTTATCACCAGGTGGTGGATAACTCGTCATGCATTCCTGCTGACTTTTTTCAACAGCTGCCACTTCTTCCGCCGAACAAATCAAATTCTTCTGATTATAATAATGATAAACAACCGCATACCGCACTTTGGCCAGTAATTTTTTCGACTCTTCAAGTCTCTTATTTATTTCTTCCAATTCATGCTCTTTGCTAGTGAGTTCGTTCTTGAATTCTCGATCGACAATGCGACGAATTGCCTCAATTCGTGTTTCTGTGCTCTTTGCTTTTCCATCTGACTTTGGATCGGGGCTTTTCTTTGCCACATTTTCCACTTGGGAGCGAACCGGCTGAAATTGACTATAATCCGGATCACAATATTCTTCACGTTTTTGTGACATTTTCCTTTAATAACACAAAATAATTTGGTATGGATGAAATGACTCATCGGCAATTCGGCCAAATATATCAACACTCAAATACAATTCAATCATTGAGAAAACAAAAACGATGAGAAAGAGAGAGAAACGAAATATGTATTAACAAAACTAAGCAGGCGTTTGTTTTCGTCACGACAGCATGCTGCTTTTTTATGTTGATACACAACTGACAGCTGTCATGTCGTGCTTTGACATTTGACAATTTCGAAACTGGAATATAGACAAACATGAACGGAGTAGTAGATCTCTTGTTGGAAAGAGTGAAATGAATTGATTTGCTGTGGCTTTGTGGTGATTTAAATTTTTGAACTTTTATTGTGTGTTTCCTTAACAGTAATAATCATTGCTCAAAATCGAAAATATGCTTTCAAATGATTGCAATGGTAAATTACGATATTTTTGAGCAATACACGGTATATGGTTTGGTTCTCATTTGACAATTTCCCTTATTTGTCTGCTTTTAAAATATTATTAAGGGGATATATTGTGCGGAGGAAAAAAATTGTTGAAATAACGACTCTTATTCAATTTTGAACGGGATATAATCATATCAACATGCTAACCGACTTGAAATTATTTAAAATATTAAAAAAGGAGAAGAAGTAACGTTCAATAGGATCGATCGTGGATTATTATTTAATATTCAAAATATTTGACACGATTTTCCCTCGCATTGTTTTAGTTTGTCCAAATGAAGACTGTATGTTGACCGCTCTGATGGTAACATATCGAATCCAAGGTTGATCAATTGGAATGGATCAGCAAACAAATCATATGCTTCGACAAAACCCTGAAAATATACACAAACGCTTAGGATTAATGCACATTTTTCACCAAAATTTTATAAAATATTTTTTTCGTTAAAAATTATTTTTAAAAAAATCCAAAAAAAAAATATGGAAAGAGAAATTGAGCAGAAAAATTGAAAAAAATTGAGCAATAAAAAATATGCATTGAAAAATTGAAAAGGCACGAAAATATAAAAAACGTTGAAAAATGCAAAAATGATAAAAAAAATTAAGAAAAAAAATTAAAATTCCCAAACTTTCCAAGTACCGTATTTAAAATACGGTATTTCATTTGGTATTTATGTCTGGTCATCATGTCACTGAATTTTCTTTCACCAATAGTGCCGTAACAGTAAAAATAATATACCTCTCTATCGATGAATTCGCAGTAAATTTTATCCAAATCATGGGCAATGTGCCTGACACATCCATAGGTATTGTTCCAAGAGTCTTGACAGTGACAACCAGCATCGAGTGTACATTCCTGAAAGAATTTTTTTGTTTTTAAATATTGTTTCATCAATTTTTGACAGATACTGCATATGTGTTGGTTAATTGTACAGAGGTTGACAGTATGCAACTTTATCGCTCTAAATTAAAACGTCATTTAATAGGTGTGTCAAATATTATAATTAAAAAGAACGGGAATCACTTTCTCTGCAATAGATTTGATTTGTGCATGCCAATAAGGAGCTTTTTTGTGATTTTGTGAAAGTTACTTACAATCCGAATTCTACCATTGGAATTATATAATAACGTGAGATTTTCAGTCTTTTCATTTTATCGTATGATTTTCTACTGAGATTTGGATTGACTTTTGATTGTTTTGACAAAAAAAAACTAAAAATTGTACCGAAAAAAAATATGTCATCAAAAATGCAAACCAGTCCTCTAATAGATTTGCTGGCCAAAAATGGTTTGATAATAATCGATGGTGCGATGGGTACGGAATTGGAAGTGCGTGGCTGTAAATTGAACGATAAATTATGGTCGGCAAAGGTGCTTGTCGAGAATCCGGACTTGATTTATCAAGTGCATTTGGATTACTATCGTGTTGGTGCCGATTTTGTGATAACATCCAGTTATCAAGCGTCCGTGGCTGGATTTGCCCGCCGTGGAATTGAAGAAGCACAGGCTTTGGCACTGATTGCAAAGAGTGTAACATTGGCGAAAAAAGCGCGTACCGATTATTTGAATGAAATCGATCAGCCGAAAACGTTGTTGGTGGCCGGTAGTGTTGGACCATATGCCACATTGTTGGCTGATGGTTCGGAATACCGTGGCGATTATCAGTTGACACACAACGAATATGCTGCATTCCATCGACCGCGCGTACAAGCATTGGTTGATGCGGGTGTGGATTTTTTATGCTTTGAAACGATTCCATCGGTTTCGGAAATTGAATCACAACTATTACTATTGACCGAATTTCCAACGATGACCGCATATTTTTCATTTAGTTTGCGGGACTCGGAACATTTATGCGATGGCACACCGTTATCAAAAGTGGCCGATATGGTGAACGCACAGGGACAAGTGGTGGGTGTTGGCGTGAATTGCATTGCATTGGAAAAAGTGAGTGGTGCATTGACAACACTCAAGCATTTAACCAATAAACCATTGTTGGTGTATCCAAATTCGGGTGAAAAATACGATCCAATTACAAAAACTTGGCAATGTGAAGTCAACAAACGATCGTTGATCGATTTTATTGATGAATGGCTAAAAATTGGCGCAACAATGATTGGTGGATGTTGCCGAACCGGACCACAAGACATCGCACAAATTGTAGACAAATTGAAGATGAAACGCAGTTAAGGCGGAGAATACCAAGGAATTTGGTGGAAGTAATTATTTGGTGCGTCATATTAATACTAAACGTTGACATTTTAATTTGCATTTAAATATCACAGCCAAAATTGTAAAAATTTCAATTCGTGCCAAAAAAATAAAGAATATTTTTTTACTGTCAATATTTCATTGTTTTTTTCTTCTTCTCTGTCTGTCTCTGTCCCTCTCTGTCTCTGTCTCCACCTGTGCCTGCCTTCTTCTTAAGTTCATTCTCTTTCTTTATCATCACGTCACCCCATCTGAATTAATTAATACTGAATGTCGATCTCCACTTGCCCCTCCCCCGTGTCTAACCGGATAATATTCAAAAAATCACATGTCACTTACATTCAACCGATCTCGTCGGTTCCATGGGCAAAGTTTGTTCCAAGTATCTGTCGACCCTTCACCCCAGTACTCAATCAAAAGTTGTCTTTCAAATTTTGGTGATTCAACTGTGCTACTTGGCTCATAGTCACTCATCTCACTGGTTGTGTCCACTTGATCAATGGCATTGCTATCCGAATTGACTACCGTAGCAAATGATTCTCCATCGATATCGTCTGGTGTCCCTATGCCGGCCCAATCTAAAATAGTTGGTGCCAAATCGATCAATGAAATCGGATGCTCAACAACATGTTTAGACTTGATCCCTGGACCTGTCACAATGAACGGTACACGAATATCGGTTTCATATGGTTGTCGCTTTAAAAATAAATTAAATACAGCTATAGGTTACATTCTCCAAATTTTTTTAAAAATATTTACTTTATCAAACGGCATGGCGAACTGACCCAAATGATAGCCATTCTAGAGACAAAAAAAATTATTCAATCTTTATAAGAAATTGTCTGAGCTAAAACCAAATAATACTTACATCCGATGTAAATACAATGTAAGTATTGTCGTACAAATTCAATCGTCTCAACTGGTTAATCATACTTTCAATCAACTCATCGACAGCTAACAGTGTTTGCCAACGTTGACGGTAGTAAGAGTCAATTGTAGCAATAATATCTGGTGTCAATGGAGCTGGTGGCATTCGTACCAACCAATGTTTTGACAATTCATCCGAAACCACGTTGAAATTTGGCGTTCGCAATGCAGTCACATTAACAAAGAATGACTCATGACGTTTGGCTGGCGTGAAGGGACTGTGTGCTGCTGGCGGCGCAACAACGGCTAGAAAATAAAGTCAATTAGACACGGTATATGCAATTTAATGTAAATTGGGATTTGGAAAACATTTGTTGGACATACCTAAGAACGGATTATCGGGCAATTGAAGCGATAGGAACTTTTCCAAACGAGAACGCTGAAATAGAGACATTTATTAGTACCGAAACATATACAAATTTTACGGAGTCTTCAGTATGGAGTTGAAGAAGTCATTTGTTAGCCAAAAAGAACATTTCAATAATCAAAAAATCTTGAAGAAAAAAATTCCGTCAGTAAATTCCGTCAGTACAAAAAAAGCTTGCAACCGGCCAATTATTTAATAATTCAATAAAATTTAGTTTATCAATTTTATTTTATTTCAAAAATGTATTCGCAAATTTACTCAAAAAATTTGCAGACATGTTATAGGCACTTCGGAGGTTGGGGCACTTTTCTTGTATGTGCTGCTCTATCTTATACTCAGCTACTTGACAAATTATATGGAACAGTGCCAATAGCTCGGAATGTTTGTAAAAAAACTCAATTTTCTATCAAAACTAGAAATGTTTCTACATAAAAAAAGTTGAAAGAAAAAAATTAAATTTCCAAAAAAATATCTCACCAAAACATCCGTCAAATATTCCTGTTCTAAATCGCCAAACAGCTTCGATACTCCATTTTCATTGAGCGTGTAATTGTAGTACTTCGAATTGCCATACAGACCATGCCAGTCAGTGTAGCCAGGCGGAACGTCAATTGAGTGATACTATAGGATGCACGGTGATTGAATGAGAACAATGAATTGAATTAATGTGAAATACACTTTGAATGGTTAATATTAATTAAATTATATTTTGACACGAATGGGTACCCTCCACTGAATAGTTTGATACAAACAGATGATCGTAAAAAAAAAAAAATAAAAAATTGAAAAAAAAAAAAAAATTATTTCTAAAAAATGCCATAAATTCCCAATCGAACTTTCCAAGCGCGCTTTTTTCGATTCTAATGAAAAATTGTTTTAAATCAACAAATAACACTATTACTGCACTGTAAAAACCTCGACCTTGACCTTTTCGTCGAATATGAAAAATGTCCATTTAATTATTGTGCGGTACCTGATTCAAGTATTTGCCGGCATAAAATGTGTTGTAACCATTTTGTTGTAAATAAAGTGGGAATGTCCGTTGTTCGTTATGTGTTTTCCATTGTTCACCGTAGCAACCGCCCGACATTGAATTATTTATCGTTTGATGATTATGGGCATATTTTCCGGTCAACAGAGACGCTCGGGCTGGACAACATATTGGCGACGATGTAAACTATTCCATATTGATAAGAAAACAAATGCTATTTTTACTAATGCGCAATCGGCTCATGTTACAAAAATAAATGTCAAAATATTCCATGATGAAAGATGAGACAAATTGTGTTTACAAATAAGATAAATTAATATCTCTTTCTGTGTGTGTCGTGATACATACTGCATTGATAAACGTAGCTCCTTTGGCAGCCAGTAGTTTTTGTGTTCGTTGCATTGGTGTCTAAAAATACAATCAAAATCCGTCTAAATCGTTGTGGAAATGTAGACCCCGGACCCCGGGCGTTGTAGTCTTACCATTCCATTGAGTACCACATCTTGGTCGTCCGTCAAAATAACAATGATATTTGGTTTGTTCGCCGCAATGACCTTGGTATGAAAAAACAGCAGCAACCAAAGAAGGTTGCACGTAAAAATCGGCCGAGAATTGACCATTTTATCTCTCCGACACAATGTCACACTTGAATGTCTTTTGTTGAACTAAATCCAAGTGTCAATCCAAAAGATGATCGCAATACGTTTCAATTGAAATAAATACCACAAATAAATAAAATCGAAAATAATATACACATAATTTTGTGTTAGCGTTTATATGTGAGTTACTTTATTGACATACACAATACTGAGCAAAGTGTGCGATGTGATGAGCATCACTTAATAGTAAATAACAACAGAGTTTCGGTTTGTGTGCTGTGATGTCCATTTCAAATGACACTCAAACACTTAAAACTAATATGTCAAAAATTCTATAATTCTATATAGTGTTATTGTTGTTGCTGGTATATAATATATTTGCTCGTGCATTGTGCTGCTGTTGTTGCCGTTTCTCTTACACACTCTCTCCCCCCACACTCACTCGTCCTCCATTTTCGCTTTTCTTCTCTATTCTTTATGCTGTTATTCTATTTGGTATGTTTTTGTTGTTGTCGACTTATCATGCTATTGATAATTACACCGATTGAACGAGCGCTGGCATAACTTCCATCCCGGTGAATTCTTGGGCAATTTTTACACCTACAATTTTTTTTATTATTATTTAAAAAATTACTTTTTTCAGCATTAATCAAAACACATACCCAGGCAAAATAGTCCGAAACTCTTCACGAGTGCCCTATACACATAGAAAAACATGATATTTGAGGTTAGTATTCAATGTGGAATTTCAGTTTTTTACATTTTCAGCATAATTTTCATGTGATTTTTTTGCTTACCATTTGTACTCGTCATCATAAATGTCCTGCAACATAGCGAAAACACTCTTTTTACCTTTAAATGCCATTTTTCGGATGGAAATTTGTTGTGTGTGTTTTTATCACGATTCAATCAATGAAACTCTTTGCTGTTTAATGTGCGATTATTGACAGTTCGCAATGGTATTTGACACATGCGTTTGACGGTTCCAATGATAATTTCCAGTTTGTCTATTTCGAACATTCCAGTCGTTCGGTCGTTTGACGATATGGAATATTTTTTCAAATAATTAAACTCAATATAAAAAGAGATTTTACATTATTTATTATCAGATTTTTATTTCACAACATTGAGTTACACGTAAAGACAGAAAATATGATAAATAATGAAACTAAACACAACTTACGCCTAAAAGTATACTCAACCGACTGTTTGGACAGTGAATTAATTGTTTTTTGTTTGTGATGCTACCAATAATCCCAATTTCTGGAACAATTCATCGGAGAAATCAGATGACATTGACTTTCGGATCAGATCTGAAATTGAGTCAGAGAAAATACAATGAATTACAAATTTTTTATCGATTTTTTCAGAAGAGAGTTCTTATTATAGGCAAGACATGACTTTGTATAAATTAAAAAATTAAAAATTAAATTTGTTTGATTTGATTGAATGACTTTTTTTATCAAACAAATATGCGTCACTCCATTTTTGAACACCATTGTGTGCAGTGCAATATTTATTGATAAATCTACAATACTCAACTGAGAAATACTTTCACACAGGTGTGTGCCGAAATATAAAAAAAACTTTTGAAAAATAATTCTAGCAATTTGAAAGAATTTTCCATGAAGACCATAGTAATTTGGAAGAATTTACATTTGTAATCAGGGGCAATCTCAATTTCACTCTATAGTGTTGTAATCGACCCCTTGGACCCTTTGTATCCAGGGTCAGAAGGCATGATCATTGATCAATTAATTAAATACTATTTAGTAAATGGTGGCCAAAAACGGCCAAACTGATTCTACTTTCTAATACAAGCGACGGCAGAGGGCTTGGTGCACTATTCTTGAAAAAACAGTATATTTATTTTACAAATTTTTTTCACTATGATTATATTTAAATAAAGTCGCTTTTAAAGATCCATAAATTTCCAAGGTCTCACCTGTCAATGGGAAGGATTGTTCCAGTGCTGTTGTTGACGTTAGAATTGAATTATAGCGAATAAAAAGTTTCTGCACCCACGGGTGGAATTGTAGCTCATCCAAATTCGTCTCATCGTTTTGGCATGGTTTTTTCAGAAATGACATAAAATCCATTTGAATCACTGTTTCATCGCTGGCCTCATCGTTTGATGTCGTGTCAAAACTGAATTTGAACTTTTTCTGTGGTTGTGTTTGCTCTGTAATAAAATTTAAGTCAAATTAGGCTTAGAACTCATAGTTTTGATATGGAGTTGGTTCAATTGGTAGTACATTTTCAAAAATTGAAACAAAAAAAATCTCAATTGAGGGTTGGAACAAAAAACTCGCCAAAATCTGAGTTGAACTTACCGCTTATACTCATATCTCTACCGTCTGTTTCTTCACTCCTCACTCCGTCATCAAACTCCTTTGCGACCTTGACAAGTAGGTCTAATATCTTATTGGTGTTTGTCAGTGTTTTTAAATCACCCTTAAGCCACCGCATTTTAAAGAATGGATGTGTGCACGTCGCAATAATCGCTGGGATGCATTTTTCATTATCAAAATCAAAAAGATGTGCAAAAATTTGTTCGAACGAATTCAAAATAGCTTTTAAATGTGGTAGACACAATTTGACTCGATTTTGTACATCTATCAAATTATCTCTCATGCTATAAACCATGGGTAAAAGTGTGGCATAATACCGATTAGTCTGCAGATACTCAATGGCGGTAGCAATTGGTTCCAAAGTCACCGCATACTCTTTTAAGAAACTCATGTCGTTTTTGGTGAAAATTGGAATGTTACATTCACTCAGCGCTTCGTTTAACGTTTCTTTGTGGCATTGAATCAAATTTGTGATGCTGTTATAGAGTTCGGTTAATTTTGAACCACCAGATGGATGTTTGAATACTAATTTGAAAATAGAGTTTTCTGGTATTTCATTGTTCGTGACATAATCCAATAGCATATCGTATTTATCGAAGGCAGATTTGTATGCTGCGTTGTATTGTTCATCGGCCAGTGCTATTTGGGCTTGTTCGATTCCAATCAATTCAAATAAATGTGCTGGATTCACAATGTTATCCAGCAAACCCTCCGAATTGAAATAAGTAATATCATTGTTCTCAAGGTTTTTGTTATATTGAAGATTATTATTGGTCACAGTGGCCACGACTTTCGAAGAAAGATCGTAGTCACCATAAATTTGTTCAATCCGCCCAAGTAAGTCGTCGTTTGTTTTGGTGCCAGTGAAGACGTCGCAGGAAATTACGCTTGAAATTCGACGGTAATCATTGATATCTATCCAATTGATCACAACTGACATGAACGTCTTTTGTCGTACATACCAAACATCGATTGCCGCTGATACGCTTGATACTTCCTTCAACGATGCAATTAGATTTTCTTTTTTCGACGAGAGACGTTCGTCAATTTCGGCTTGCAATACTTTTGGTGAGATAATGTCATATTTTTGTGTTGGATGGTATTCTGATGTTCGATTTGTGGCAAGATCTGGAATGAGAGACAAGGAGATATTTTTAAATTTTGAAGAGTAAAAATCATGGAATATAAAACAAAGACGTACCGTTAACCAATGTATGGAATGTTGGATCCTGAAGTAATGCTGGCTTATGCATACCGTCGATCATAAAGTTCAGAACGATGCGATCAAAATCATGTTGATCAAATTTTTCATATTTTTTATTCGCTTTGAACTCATTTCGAATGTTCGACTTTTCCTCTTCTTTTAATGTCAAAAATCGATCAAACATTTTCGGATGCATGCGCTATAGAAAAAAATATTTGCTTTAATTATTTTCTGTACTTCATAAAATTCCAAATAATTTTTTCAATTATTTCATAAAAAATTAATTAAATTCTTTGGATTGAAAATGTCAACCTTACCGACAAATGTTTGACAAAATTTGAACTGGATGCTATGTGGCCACTGTAGACGTTACCGTGTTTGCAATTCAAGCATTCAGCTCTAATAGTCACACCATCGCGTTTTATAAAACGGAAAAATCCACCACGAAACAACAACGGTGCACGCCGAACCCAATTTTCTTGGTAGTCGAATGATTCGTCGATACTATCGCTAGATGATTCGTTGTCATCTGAAGAAAAATATATATTTTTTTTTTATTTATGGCAAAAAATAACAATTTTTGAATATGAAAATGCAGTTTCATTTTTAACATAACTTTGATAAAAAATATTCTTAAAATTGATAAGAAATATTCACATTGTTTACAATAATTTTTTTTATATCTTGAAATTTTAAAAATATTTTTTATTTTCCTATCCCAGAGCAAAAAACAAAATATTGACAAAAGGAATTTTGGATTTGTGTACTTCTCAACTATGATTCTATGATTTAACTATATTCATGTGACTAAAATATTCTGATGCCACCGAAAAATATTCAATTTCTAATTTTAATTAAAATTGATAAGAAATTAAGGAAATCGAAAATTTTAATTAAATTAAAATTGCAAAAGAAAATATTTAAAAAAAAATTAAATTATTTAATATTGAAATGAAAAAATAATAGTGTTTCACAATTATTCTGATCCAATGTACTTTTTAAAGAAAATATTTAGTTAGGTTTTAATTTTTAAACAAAAAAATTATTTTCAAAATTTAGAAACAATTTTAGCCTCTTTTACTACAAAATATAAAACAACATTGAAAATAAAATCTTTTCCAAAGTAGACATTGTCAGATGATGAAATAAAAATAACTTACGGTTTGGTTCATCACGAGTTTGCATTCTTGTTGTTGTTGATGTAGCTGCTGCTTCAGTGTCCATTTGTGAATTATCCAAGCCTTCAAAATAATCGGACGATTCAAAACTATCCCATGTCTCGCCCTGCATATCATCATCATCCTGATTCACATCGACAAATTCCAAATCTTCACCTTTGGAATAAAGAAAATTTTCAATAGAATATACAACTTTTGTAAGACTATTCGTCTCCGATTATAATATGAGTGTAGCTGATATGAATGATCTCAGCTGATTTAACTCAAAAACAAGTATGCATTTTGCTACTCTACTTTTGATCGTTGATACCACCGACTGTTCAATATTCATATCAAATTGTGGTTGCTCCGTTGGCTCCAAATCCGTTGGCTCCAAATCGTTTTGTCGGTGATTTTTCAACAAAATATATCTATCATATTCAGAAAGATGTGTGCGCTGAAAGATGAATTAAAAAAAATACATTTGGATTTAATTTAAATTATTTTTGACAAAAACTTAGTCGATTTCATGGACTCACTTTCAAATGTGCCAACAAATTCGACGCGCTAGATTCTCTGGCATGAATGAGCTTCGGTCGACCCAAGCGTTCACAAATCAGACAACTGGCTGTTATTATTCTGTTCGGTAATTGCGATTCAAACTTAAAAAATCCTTCGGTGAAGAGGCTATGTGGTCTTGGTGAAATTATTGAACCTACAACAAACGTGTATTTTTCATAGTGTGAAATTTCTTATCATTAATCATTCAGAATCATGCTACTTTTCTATAAAAATTCACAATAAGCACCACTATCAGCAACAACACAAATAGCTCTTCCATATATAAAATTTATTTCACACTTGGCTCGTATGCTTAAGCATATTTTAAGGTGTCTGAAATGCGATAGATGAGAGTTTTTCACAAAATACTTACTTCTGGCGGTTGATGCCACTGGCGTTGTACTCTTAATAAAGGATAACCTTGGTTCTTGTTTAGTTACATCCGTTCCATTTGGTGGTTGATTTGAATTTTTCATTGAAAAGTACCTTTCATATTCATTTGGATGCATCCGCTATTTTGACAAGAAAATCGATTGTAAAACAGAAATACTCTCGCATACATGGTAATAAAACTTACATTCAAATGTGTTAATAAATTGGACGAGATGCCTTTTCTGGCTTGAATTAGATTTGGTCGACCCATACGTTCGCACGACAAACAATTTGCTTTTATTTTGTTATTTGGCAAGTGTGAGTGAAACTCAAAAAATCCATTGAAAAGTGGATGTGTTCTCCGTACCTTTTTATTGTCATCATTGGGTATTTCAATCTCTAAACATTTTCAATCATTCAATTAACAGAGTTTCTAATTTATGATTCAAAGACAACATTTACCTTCACCCAACGGAACAATCGGCGTTGCCATTTTAGCGTTTTTCATTCGTAAATAGTCGTCGTATTGTCTTTTATGCATTCGTCTAATATGCTTGTTGATCTGCCCCTTACAACTTTAGTTATACCACTTCTAGTGCACACTACACATGAGTGTATAGATTACATTGAAAAAGCAGTGATGATGATTCTAATCTATTTGCTGATATTTCTATTCCCGATTCTAAAAGAGCAGGAAACTTATTGTATTACATGTATATTATGTTATTTACCATTCAGCTGCAACTCTTCATTCATATTCAATGAGAGACAGCGATGATTTTCCACTCAATTTAATACCACTCTCGAGCAATATGTTATTTGGCACTTAATCACACATTACTATATTTTTCGGACAATTTTCAACATTCTTTTTTTTGTGACGGACGCCAATTTATTGTTATTGATTCATTCATAAGAATAATTATGGAATGACAGCTGGAACTGTCAACAAGCGTCAAGCCATTGTCAAATAAGTGTCAAATAAAGAACCTGTCTAGAGTCAATGGCGAACTATTTAAATGAATTTTTCATAAAGGGAATTTACTACTTTTGCTTGATTTTGTTTGGAAATTGTATTTGAAAGATGATTGGGTGCCTTCACGACTTCCATTGAGAAATAAAATGTCTTACATCCGTAAGATGAACTTTTCCGTACTGTGATCCACAACATGCATTCATAACGTATCTTTTACCGTAAATATGAATTCATGAGAAAACTGAATCTGAGTAAGTTTTGCGATACAAATAATTTTTGATAGACTTTTCAATGCCTGTATGATATCGTAATCATGTGAAAATTTGCAGATGTTATTGTTTTCACAAAAAGCTAACATTCTGAAAGTTTGAAGAAATTTCAATACAATTGAGTGGTACCTTCCATACAAAATTTTCGTTTTTGAGCAAAAAATCCTAAATGTTGTTCGGGAGGTACCCCTATTATGCATTGAAATCTCTTCAAACTCTCAGAATGTTATTTTTGTGTGATAAAAATAATCTGTGCAAAGTTTCAGCTCATTACTATATCATACGAGCATGGCTTCCATACAAAAATCGATTTTTTTGACATTTTTGTATGAAAAGTGTGTCGAATTATATTTGTATCGCAAAACAAACATCATATTCGGTTTTCTCGTACCCAAAAACCCCCCAATACATATTTTTGAGTGTTTAATAATTCATTAAATATCACTTTTGGCATCCCCAATCATCCTGTGAAGTCAGATTTTGAATTACTTTTCTTGTTTGAAAGTTATCGTGTTAACAAATTTTTGCGTACAGCGTTTCCAATACACCGATTCCAATACTTTACCTTACACACTACTTACACACTAGGTGTGTGCGGAAAAGTAAGAGCCATTAATTTTCAATTTTTTTACTTGTTGTGCGGAGTTCTTTCCAATAAAGAAGAAAAATACATAAAAAAAACACCGAAATATTGAATCAAAAAAATCCATTTATTTCTAATCTAGAAATCTCCAAAACGTTCAATCGAAATGGAAAACCATTTATTAACAAAAGCTTCTTTTTTTGCAAAAAAATGAGTATTTTAAGTTACACTAATTGCTACAAAATTACAACAGATTCATTTTTTCTTTAATCCAGCCCAAGTACTGTTTAACATTGACATAAACACCGGGCTTATTTGAATCACCACACCGTAGACCCCATGAAATGATGCCGTACAATGAATTAACACCTGAAATGAAATTAATAAAACAAATCAGTTTATTCGAGTTATTCTTCGGAAAAGACTTTGTCGAAGTAATTGACATGATTCTTCCATTGATTTCATAAATTTCGAGTCATGAAGTTAAGGTGTCAATATAATTTTTGGTACTCATGCTCACCATTTTCATCGGCGCATACAAGTGGTCCTCCACTATCACCGTCGCATGCATCAACGCCCGACCGATCTAAGTAACCTGCACAGAACATTGTGTCCATAATTTCATTACCGTAAATCTCCTTTCGTCGGCAGACTTCCTGTGCAATAATTGGCACTGTGGCTGCTTTCAAGTCGAGTGATGGAGCTAAAAAAAAAATAACAATTTCAATACCCCTTCATTCTTTTCAGTTTAATTTCTTGACTTACTTGATTTTCCATATTGAATCGATCCCCATCCTGAGATGGTGCAATTTTTACCAGCCATATAATCGGTTTGTGCTGTCGGCAAGCAGATGGGTTGAATGTAGTTGGTGAATTGAATTGGAGATTTCAATAAAATCAAAGCGATATCATTGTTCTGCTGTTGTTCTTTACGGAAATCTTCGTGAATGTGCCAATTTTCAATGAAAATTTCGACCTCAGAATCTTCTCGAATTTCGGAATGATGATCGCCCAATCGAATGAAGTAAGAACCTTTTGAAAAACCAATCAAACAATGTGCAGCCGTTAGTATATGAGTACGCGAAATGATCACCGCCCCACACCAATGCGATGAACGACCATTTCGACCACGAGCTCGAATTGTTGCTTGCCATGGATGATGGCCACGTTTTGTTCTTGTACCACTTATCACACGGAACCGATCGAAACTTTCCTCACTCTCATCCGTCTCTGTCACTTTTACGCGACCACACACATTTGAAAAGTCCGGTATGCTCTTGCTAGTGCGCGGCACTTCACGTAGGTATTCGTGTGTTTGACGATTGGTCAATCGTTGTAGAGTATTGTCGGGAGAAGTGTAACGACCGCTTTTACTTTCCGTACCTGAAATTATTTCTTCATCAAAAAGAATTCACTTTCGATGATAATCAGACGAATTACTTACCACGTGAACATCTGACACTAACGTCTTCTGTATGATTGCAATTACTTTCACTCCAATCGAAATGCATACATTCATCCAAGGCGGTTTCGTTGCCAAGACAATCGACTTGATCCAACCAAATCGGTCCTGTGCTCATTCCGTACCGTTTGTTGACCACCGACTAGAAAAAAATGAGTTTTAAAGGAAATTATGTCAAAAGATAAAAAAATAAGGTAACTTACAGCTGGTCCAGTGAGTCCAAGCGAGTTACAAAGTACAGCGGCTTCTTGATCTCCAAAGTCATCGTCACACACTGTACCCCACACTCCACGATATTTCACTTCAACGCGACCCTCCATTTCAGTTCCGTCCATCAATCGGTACTCGATTTTGGCATTGCAATGCATCGGACTTTCATCCGTTCCATCGGTACAATCTAAATTGCATAAATTTTTTAGCTCGATGGCGTCGGTCAATTGTCATCTCTTTATCTTACCTTTGATTGTGTCACACATGAACTCCATCGGAATACACTCTTCAGATTCTTGGCAAAGCCAGTGGTTTGGTGGACATTGCATAACGGTTACTTTGCACACAACACCGACCACCTCTTCCGGACTACAATCGCTTACACCCCAACCAGCAAATTCACACTCTTTCAACGACGTTTCATTTCCTTGACAGCTCACTTCGTCCATTGTAAACATACCATCGCCGATTGGCATATTTGCATTTGGTGGGAAGTAGGAATTTGGTTTCACTTCAGCTAAAATGACGAAGCGTATATGCGAAATATAAAACGTAAGCGAATATGAAATCGAAATTGGGCGTCTTTTTGATGATTTTGATAAAAATTTCTGAAAACGGTGTTACCTGCACCCATATTGAATCCAAGCTCGCGACACACGACGTTTGCATTATTCAATGTAAATCGGTCGTCACAAACGTAACCCCATTTACCGAATGCTCTCACCTCAACTCGACCCATATGCTTATGACCTTTGTCATTGGACAATCGAACTTGATAATTTACGTGTGGACAATTTGATTCATCGTAGCGATTTCCACAGTCGTTTCTACCATCGCAGAGCTAAATCATGAATTAATCGTTTATTAATTCATTTTCAAGAGGTATGATTTTTCAATCGCCTACTCGTCGACTAGCCTTGAAAAAGCTAAAAAAAAACCAAAAAAGAACAAGCTTACCTGACTAAATGGAATGCAAAATCCTGTTCCGCAATCGAATTGTCCATCGCACGTCGTCACCTCTACATATTGTGATTTCCCAAATCGGCTGGTTGTCGTCGGTTTTTCTTGATTAAAAACTGAATTTGGTGATGGTGCCGATGCGGTTGGTATGGTTGTCGATTCAGTATGTCGTTGATTCGATGCCCAGCCAAAATTAGGTGCGTTCGAATGATAATTTGGACCGAAATGATTTGGATGATGCACATTATGGTGATGACTCGAATGCAATTGTGGTGATGGACCATGAGATGATGGTACATTATGGTGGTATCCATAAACTGGATGTGACTGTGTATGTGCTCCTGCAAAATTAATCGTAACGGGGTCATTAGTACCCGGTTTATAATACGTCGGTTGATTTATGTTCGGATTTGGATGTGTTTCGAGTGTATGTTTGTAATCGTTTGGTGGTAAATGTGATGAATGATATGAATTATGATTATATGTAGGTGATTCATGGTTGATTTTCGGAGTGGGTGTATCTTCCACATGTCTTCTTTCCGTCGTCGATCGAACAAATTCAACATCGGGTCTTAGTTCAGTTTGTGGTGATTCTGGTAAATTTTTCACCGAAATATTATCATTCAAAAATGCGCTCGCCAAACTATCTTGTTCCAATGCTTTGCCATGATTTTGACCTTTGCCATCAATCATATCAAGAAGTTTACTTTCAATTCTTTGCATTTGATCCGTGTCATTTGTGTCATTTCGCGATAAATACGGTCGCAATAAGTACTTCAATGCATCACTAACTGGAATATAATCGGTTTCGTCTTTTTCGGTTGTTTCATTCAACGGTTTTGTAAACGGTTGATAGTAAATGTGATTGTAATTTTGTGATAATGATGGTTGTTGAGTTGTGGTTGTTGTTGGTTGAACTCTTGCGGGTCGATTGTAAATTGGCATAACATGTTCATGACCACTTGGTATTCTCATTACATTCTTTTTACTCGCTTCGGTTGGTCGGACCAATTGTTTTCCATCGCGATTCGACAGCAGCGATTCTTCGCCGAGACGACTTTGTGGGTTTCCAAATTGATGGTTTTGAGAGTCAAATGATTCAGGTTGGATGTCACCACCTTGAGATGGCTTCCCAAAGCCAGTGCTTGGATATTTGGGTTCTTCGGAGTATGTATTTTTTGGAAATTGTCCGGATTCTAATGGCAAAACCGACATATTCGGAATGGGGAATGACGTCGGCATTATTGGTGTTGATTGTGTCGTTTGCCAAAGTTGTGTGGCTCCACTATTTTCGCCATAGATTTCATTGATTTTATCATCGGGCAGACCATATGATGGACTTTCATTGATTGTTAACTGTGGATTTTCCGGTTGTTGTACTTCGGTTGGAAGCGGCATTGACGGGGCACAATTTCCAACATTTTTTGCGAAATCGCATATCTTCAATTTTGGACTAAACATCAATCCAACGGGGCAGCTTTGAACTGTGATTCGACCATTTTCACAGCTAACATAACGCGAACAATCATACGGATGTGCATGTAAACCAGATCGATCCTCTTCACATTTCGATCCAATTGTTTCAAAACCACTTGGATAAATGCTATAAACTTTGGTTGTTGGCTGCGTCGTTTGGTGAACAGTGGTTGGAATGGCTGGTGGTGATGTCGTTGTTTTCGCTTGTGAATTCGAAAAATATCTCGTAAAATCGTTAGCAACTCGTGTTGACATAAAATTCAATTCAGGAAATTGTTGTTGTGGTTTTTGTTGCGTTAAAAATGTATCATCGACACTTGGTTTCGTTGGTCGAACGCCGTTTGTATCGACAGCATTCGATTCGGACCAATCCAATCGTGAATCAATTCGTTGTGTACCTTGAAAAATCTCATCAACACGTCCATTTCGATTGTTGTCTTGCACCGGTGGAAGCAGATTTTGGCTTGGAATTTGTACGATTTGTGTATCGGGTACCGATTCTTGTGGTATTTGATCGGTCGTTTGATCGGTCGTTTGATCGATGATGAATGATTGATTACTCGATGTTGATGAAAATGAATGAAGAGAATTTATACCGTTGTTATTACTTTGTGGTTGGTGTCCACCGGCAAATTGTGGCCGATTTTCTGGATTTCGAATGAGTGGTTTTAAATTCGACGATGACACATCCATACGAATATCTAACAATCCTTCACCATAAAATGGTTCTCCATTATTTTGTGAATGAACTCCGTTGTTTGTGTACGAATTTCCATTGTCATATGTATTTTGATTCGAATTTGAGTTGGTGTTTGTGTTCACATTTGTGTATGAATTTCCATTAAATGGTCTTGTACCACAATCGACCTTGTGTGGCCAATCGCATACTTTGAACACATCATTGAATGCAGTTCCTGGTCCACAATTTTGATGAAACGTACGACCATTGTCACAATTCAAAAATTTCGTACAATCATACGGATTTGCGAATAAACCACTGGCACCGTCTTCACATTCGAGCGGTGCCAACTCTTGTCGTTGTGAGGTTCGTTGATTCAAATTCGGCAATTGCCGTTGATCACGATACGATGACCGTCCTTGGTATGGTGTACACTTTACTTTCGCCGGATTATCACATTCTTTGGTGTCGAGATTGAACATTGTACCCGGCGGACAACTTTGAACCGTTCCTCGACCTCGCCAACAATTTAAATATTGACGACAATCCATCGCATATGCCACTAGGCCAGTGTAACCTGACGGACATTCCGATCTTGGCGACGCATCAACATCAATGAAATTGTTTTGGTCTGGTTGATACACCTATGGAATATAGAGAAAGAATTCAATAAAAAAACTGTTTTTTTAAACATCTACGTGACATTTTAAAGAAATACCAATGGAAAAACATCAAAAAGAGAGAAACAAAAATCTATTTTATCGTTTTCCTCAATCATAAAATGACATAGCTCTAATAACATGCATAACAATTGCAAACAAAAGGAATTGCGTCGACAATAATTTGCGGTCTTATCAGTTTTTCAGATCCGTTTTTTTTTTTTGCAGTGAATGTTTTTGTGCCCTTTGACCATGGACTGTCTGTATTTCATTTTTTTATTGGTTTCCTTCAAACATATTTCACACAACACCACACGTATTGACTGCTCAGTATAGATCCACCAGTGTATGTGTGCAACGTCAACGCATCATCGAACATTATCGATATCTTCTCAGAATTGAGGTCACACACTTTCATTTTATGATTACACTTTTTTTTACTAACAGGAGCATTGCTTCGCTTCAAAATTCACTTTGTTTTAAGTTGAAATATTGTTCTAGCAAATTTGATGAAAGAGTAAAATAAATTCAGATAGGATAATTGGTCTCTTATAATCTGAAAGTCCGTAGAAAAACCCACATTGAATCGATGAAGATAACAACATATGCAAACAATTCAGTTTTCAAAAAAAAATTAACAACAAACATATGCCAGAAACATGGTAATCCTACAAAAACGATAAGTTTTAAATAACATCATAAATCACAACTCTTTCTAAGAATTTTATATTCACATTTTTTTTTGCATAATTTACTTTTATTTTACCATTTTCTCATAAATTTTTTTGTTATCAAAAATATTTTTCGCTTCAAAGACATTCATGATTTATGAGCTTCAAAGAACACTGATTTTTCTTAAATGATATCATTTTTTCTTCATTAAATAAACAGTGCTTTGAGTTATTATTTATCAAGAATCAAACGGTGAATCGAGAAATTTTGTATGTGACGATCACAATTTCTAAAGTGCAAGAATTTTTACGGAAAACGATTATTTTCATACGAAAAATTCTCTTTTCGAATTTCCACTTTTGAAATTTATTATTTTTAAATTTTTACAAAAAAATATTTTTTAGGGTATTTTCATGAGAAAATCATAGTGATTTTAGTGCTTTTGGATTTTTTTTCAATATTTTATCATTAAAATACATAATTTTAGTTGACAATTCGCAACACAAATAAATGTTCCTCTAAATCATTTTTCCCATCAAAAATCCATTGAAATCAAACTAAGCCTGAGAGCGAATGTTCTCATAAATTGCAAACATTACACAACAATTGCACGGAACTTGAATAGAGATCATCCAAAAATAGTTTAATTGTCCACAACGTTGTATGTACAAAATAAACAAAAACACAAAAAAAAATGTATCAACTAACCAATTGCACATGATCGACGACGATCAAAACAATTGAAATGGCACAAAAACTTTGGTATATTAGCTGCATGTCTTTGGTTTCAATTTAAGCACATTTTAATCTTAAACACTATATTTATGGAATCGAAATTGTTCCAGTTCACAAAAATTCCGTTCACACCGTTCTAAGCGCAAGTTATAAACTGAAGTAAGATCGTGTGCTCGGCTTTCTATTGAGCGAGTTTGAGTTTTGCTCATCACAACATGCGATTTAATTTTGTCGTCGTCTTTGTATTGTGTACGATAATGTGTTTCACAAGCGTTGTGTAGTGTGTAAGAAAATGAAAACAAAACGTAGAAAATGAATGAAAGGCAAAACACTAGTGAATGGTAAGACCAAAAATTGAATGGAAAGGATAAGTGTAGTATGGAATGACCATGCAAAGAAGAAAGTGTAGATTTGATATCCGTTTTGTTGATTACCGAACAAAAGAAATTCCATTCATAATTTTTTGTTGCGTACGAATGCTGAGGGGCACCCTGTGGTACAAAACATCACATTATCTCCGTGCATGTCATCTGTTATCATATGGAAAAGATTAAAAAGTTCAAGCAAACATCTTTTGAGAATGTGACGTTGAGAGTAAACACACATCATCATGAGTATTTTTTCCTCTCGAGCAATCACTTCGCAGGAATTCGTATGCGGCCCTGAAATGTTTCACTCATTTTCAAAACAAAGCCTTCAATGTTTTGAATTTGAAAAAAAAACAATCACAAACTTCCTATTTTTCTTCGTACACGCATATCGTTTTGTTTTGTGTTTTCGGTGATGTTATCAATGGTGATATATGTATGACTCTTTTCAATTGATGAGTGCAGCTTTGTAGTACGCAATAGAATTTTTCGATTAATTGGTCATTCGTACAGAAACCATTAATATATGCATTGAGAGGAGCAGCATCTTACTTGGAATGCTTTGTATCGCTTTATTGAAACCAATTGAAATGTTTAATTGGCGTTGATTGATATGGAACGCGAACCATTTCTAGGTCTTTTGTATCAACAATGTTCGCTTAATTTCCTTGATGAATGTTGAAAAATAAATTAAAGTCAATCGAATTTTTATTTCATGATGCTCAATTAAGACATATTTATTGAAAATGATCAAAACAAACATGATTTCGATGAATTCTATTTATGTTGGAGCATGTGTTATACATTTACGTCGATCGTGGAAATGTTGATAGCATTTCAATTGCGGTGTAATAAAATTTTTAGACGAAAATGACAACACGCTTAGAAAAACAAAACATAAGACAATATTTATTCGTTCATCCTCTGATTGTTCAATTTGTATACTCAAATCTAAGTTGATGATTCATTTTGAATGCACTTTAAGCGATAAACCCACATGGTGATACTATTCTAATCTATAGTGATACTAATTTTTAAAATTGATACTATGAAATGCATATAAGAGTTCATTTAAGACGGACGGACAAAAGGAGGGGTTTTTATTGATCATCTGTGTCCGTTGACACCTTTACTAAGTAAAACTTTTGATGAAAGGTAGACGATGTGTTGTTGTTTGTATTGATATCCTCTACCGTCTCATGTCCATGGTTTATTCCATAAAAATAGAGCAATCGCGCCTCTCTATTAGTCATCGCCTGCATTTGCTTGATTATCAAGCCTTGATAGAAGTTTAATCACCCGAAAATTACTTGAAAAATGTGCTTGCGTACGTAAGCTTTTTTATTTTGTAACATAAAATCGGCCATCAATCGCCATTTGTATCAAATTCAACACTGAAGTGTACTGTACATTAAATTACATGTTTCAAGAGAAAAAGACACATTTAATTTGTATGATTGAATGTCTCTTTATTTAAAAATTTATTTAAACTATAATGGAATCAATTTTTCTGTATTTTTTTAGTTCTTAAGTTCAAATAGTATTGAAAATTGTATAAAACTCTTTACAAATTGGTTTAAAGTGAGGACCCTTTTTTTGGTCTTCAATTTATTTTATTAAATTTGTTTGAGAGACCAAATTTCCTCTTTACTTTTCAGAAAATGTTGAAATTACCGTTTGGATCACGATCATCAGAAGCCATGACTCCATTCTACCGAATCCGATCGTCGCACTTTGGTGAAGCCCAAATTCATGTCACCGTCTCTGGTCGTCCATTTAGTAGCCAAAAAGACGTCATCAAGCGTATAGATTACTATTTTTCGTGCTCCAGCCAACTTGGCACGTTTGTCATTCAACATTCTTAAATTCAAAACTTCGCCTTTGTTCCATGGTAACCTTTTGATTTCGTTCAAATTCGATGATCATCGAATGAATGGCATAATGGACTAGGACCAATGCAAAGACATTCAAGTTTCATAAACATTATTTCAAGAACCGGATCATTTCGAAGATAAAAAAAAATCTGCAAATACATTTTATTGAGTATTTAGAAATAAAGGAAATGTATGTACATTCATTGGAAATGTATGTAATTTTCATTTTTATTGACAACTGAATGAGTTAAACAGAATGTGCCATAAGTTTCATAGTTTCAACGGAAATTTTTTGAAACGAGTGGAAAGGATGAACGTGGAGAAAAGAGGAGAAAACGATGGAAAACGTCAGTTTCAAGTGTAGCGAGTGACAAAATCATATATGTGTCCGGTTATCGTCGCCGCTGCTTTTTTTTGTCTTTTAAATAACAACATATTGATTTTGCGTTCTAAAAAAAGGTAAATACAATTTGTGTTTATTCTTTCTTTTCAAGCATCAATTAAAACTTTGAATTCGCTTAAAAAGACAAAATTCGTGTAAATGACATCAAAGTGTTTGTTTCACAAAATATTAATTATCATTTCGTTGTTCTATTCTAATGCAGTTTCACTATGGGCCACAAACAAACAAAGACGCAATTGTCACACCCAACTCCGAAAATATTCAAATTGAACACCGATTGTTTTGACGAAATATTTGAATATTTGGACGTGAAAGACTTGTATTCATTCGGTCGAACATGCAAGCGAATGAACAAAGTGGCCGGCGAATATTTCAAACAGAATTATTCATCACATAGAATACAATGTCAACGAGATGGAATTTACATGTTTTATCGGGGCAAAAGTGGCGTACAAAAATTTATTGAAATATCCCGTTTCAATAAATTCATGACAAAAATGGGCATAAAAATCGATAATCTTGATGGTAACGATTCACTCAAATATATTAAATCACACATCAATGAATTTGAGTCAACCAAGTACATACAACTTTCGTGGTTAGGTATTGATAACAAACTATTTGAGCATTTGAGACAACTGTTACCCCAACTGGAAGTTGTGCAGAACGACAATTGTTATATGAATGGGGACATATACGATTTGATTTTTAAATATTGTAAGAATTTAAGAGAGATTCATTTTCAAAATTCATCCGTCGGTATCCGCACAAATGGTGAACTTAATTGGCTATTACAAGAATATCCAAAGCTTCAATATTTCGAATTGACACCTCGTGATTCCTATCAGATTGAAGAGCTACGTGATTTTTTCGTACGCAATCCAAATGTACACAGATTTTCAACTTCCGTAGATTTTTTGTGGGATAATCGTGACATATTATTAAATTCCAAGGCAAAATTGGATGTATTAGAACTCAAAAGAATTTCACATACATGGTCTCCGTTATATAAGAGACAGACGCCGGAAAATATTTTGGAACTTTTAAATCGACTCCATGAACAAGGCTTTTATAAGCGACTACACATTTACGTCGATGATGTTGATGAAAAAATTGGCACTTCATTAGCCTCATTCAAAGGTCTTGAGTTCTTGTACATTCGTAACTTAGTCGAGATCTATATCTTGGCTCAATTGACCAATCTGAGAGAATTAATGATTTGGGGTGGCTCGAGGGATATGGAGATCTTAGCAAATGCTCTGATTAAACTCGAACGTCTTTACATTTTTGTGTCAAACATCGATGAAATTATGCCATTCATTCGTCGATCACCGAAATTGAACAAAATCAAATTCATCCCACTGAAGGAAGGTGTAGTTTTAAATCTGACAATGTTGAATGCAGAGCGTGCCAAGTTGATCGGAGCACGAAAAATAACAATTTATACGCGTGATGATGTCTTCTTGGCCACTAAATGGACGACCAGAAATGGTGACACCAATTTGAGCTTCATCGAAATGAGACGATTGGATTCGATTGTGTGGAATTGTACTTTTTAAAAACAAATTTTTGAAAAGAAATTTTTTATTCAAATCATCAATGATACATAATATTCCATTTAAATTCTTTTCAGATTCATATTTGAGAAAAGGCTATAGACATTTATCTTTGTTTTACAATTTA